CCCCAGGCATGGCAACCGTAGGCCAGCAGGACCAGAGTTGCCAGCGCCTGTTGAAGCAGGCAGGCTTTGCAGGAGGCGCTGGCATCGAGACCTGGGGCAGGCGAGGCTGGCAGCTGCCGCCGCTGTCCTTCGGGCAGCTGCATGAGACTTGCCGCAGGTACTCCCCGACCTGCGGCTTCGGCGTTGGCCAGCTCTATCAACTGCAGCTGCTCCTGCTGCCGCGCGCGCTCCAGGGGCGCTTCGTTGACCTGCTGTCCGCCAGTGAGGAGCGGCCGCAGCGCCCAGGCGAGCTGGCCATGCAGATGGGTGTTCATCCCCAAGGCATCGGGGCGGGGTCAGGCCGACCGCCCTCCTTCCGCTCCTCCTCCGCATCTGGGGCAGGGTGATGCCGCGCCTCTGCGCGGCCTGGGAAGCGAAGCGCGACCACAGGTTGTTCTGGGGAAAGGCGGATGGGGGCTGCGACGTGGCGGGCTGGCAACACAACGCCTACGCGGCCCGCGCCCGCGCCCGCGGCTTCACCCAGGGAGTCTCTTCTTGGACATCGCGAACTTCTACGAGAACCCTCGACCTGATGTTCTCTGGATGCGTGGGATCGCCCATGGCTTCAACCTCCGCCTCCTCCAGGGGCTCCTCGTGATGTGTCAGAGCCCTCGCTTCCTGACGGTCGCGGGGCTTGCCGCCCAGGTTTTCGCCGCCCGCGGCTCTCGCTGGTTGCGCCAGCGCGACCACGGTGGCCAAGCTGTCCGCCCTGGCTGCGCCGCGGCAGACCTCGGCGCGCGCCCGCCCGCTGGCGGTCGCCCGCGACGTCATGGACGACGTCGCGCTCCAGGCGGTCGGCGCGGAGCGGCTGTTGGCGGAGCAGCTGGCAGTTGCGGGGCTGGATGTGGCCAGGATCCTTTGCGAGCGGCGCCTCCCCATCAGCGCGTCCGCATCGTATCTCCAGGCCTCCAGCGCAGAGCTCGGGAGTTGGTTGCAGCGGCGCTGGAGCGAGGGGGCTGGAGCTTCCGCCGCTCGCTCCAAGCCCGCAACCTGGGCGCGGGCGCCGCCGTCGCCAGGCGCGGCGCCCACGAGGGGCACGGCCGCGCCGCGCGCGCGAGCGCGCGTGGGCTTTGGTGCTTCAGGGCTGCCCGAGCGGGGATGGACCCGATCCACAAGGCTGGGCCCGCGGCCAGCGCGCTGGGGGGCCGCGCCGTCGCGGGCCTCTCCCGCGGAGAGGCGCGCTGCTAGAGGGTCGTGGCGGTCCGCCGCGCGGGCAAGCCAAGCCCCCCAGCGGCGCCGCCCCCGGTTTCCGCCTTCGCGCCGCGGAGGCGGCGGAGGCCCGCCGCCGGGCCGCGGTTGCGCCGCGGGCGGCCAGCAGTTTGCAGATCGACGCGGCCGCCCTCGCCATTGCGCGCGCCGGCTGGCGATTGTTTTCGGGGCGACGTGCTCGACTATAGCCCAGGGCCCGCGCGGGGTCGGCGCCGAGGCGGCCCCTCCGGGCTCGGCGGTCTTCCGGCCGCCGCCGGGGTTTGCGGAGGCGCGCGATGGGCGGCGCGCGCGCCCAGCCCCCTTCCGGGGCGCCATCGGCAGCCTCGTCGGCCTGGGGGGGCAGCGGGGGCAGCGCGAGCGGGCGGCGTAAATCTCGTGCCCGTCCAATGCGCGCTGGCCCCGGGCCCGCCTGCGAAGCGCTGGCGAAAGGGGCCGCGGGCGCGGCCGCTGCCGCGCCTGCGGGGCCGCTCGCGGGGCGATATAGAACGGGCTCTTCGAGCGCCCGCTGCTGGAGAGCTTCTGCCGCGACGGCGTCTCGATCGGCTTAGCTGGGGCATCGCGCGCTCGAGGCCCGAGCCTTGGGCGATGGGGCAGAAAAGGGCCCGGCGCGGTGCCGGCTGTCCGCGCGGGGCGCGGACGCGCCGGAAGTCTGGTGGATCGGCCGGCCTGGGGACGGGGAGCTCAACGGCAGGCTGTTCTTCGACGGCTCGGAGTTCGAGCCAACCTTCAGCGCCCTTGGCGCGCGTGCGAGGCCGCCGCCCAGGTCGACGACGACGGGGGCCTCGCGGCGGCCGTCCACGGCGCGGCGCTGCGCGACCTGTGCCCGCGGCAGACGGCCGCGTAGACGGCGAGCATAACGCCGATTGGATGCTGCGCAAGGTCGGGGGTCCTGCGGTGCAGGAGGTCAACGTCGACGGCAGTTCGACCGACAGCTGCCCGCGCCGTGGCTGGGCGTGCTCGACGGCGCCCTCCAGACCGAACTCGCACATGCGGTCGAGAGTCTGCGCGACCTTCGAGGTCGGCTACTTCTCGGCGCGGAAGGCCCCGGCCCGCTGCAGGGTGTAGCGGGCGCCCGCGAAGTCGAGCAGACGGAGGCCAAGCTGCGCGGCGACGGCCGCGCAGACAGGCTGGCCAAGAAGGGCGCGGGCCTCCGCGCCGCGGGCGCCGAGGGCGCCGGGAGCTTACCGCGGCCGCGCCGAGGTCGTCGGCGAGGCCGGGCCTGGGTGATCCTCTCGGGCGCGCAAGCCGAGGGCGCCGAAGGCCTCCGGGAATGCGAGGAGCGGCAGCGCCCGCTGGATTCTTTCGCCCACCCCGAGGCCTGGCCCGGCCCCAGCGGCGAGCAGGAGGCCAAGAGGCGACGGCAGGAATGCTTTAGGCTGGTGGCCAGCGGCCGATGCCTCGCCGTCGGCGCGGAGAGCTACGTCGCGCTCGGCCGCGCCCTCGTGCGCGCCCGCTGCGGCGACGACAGCGATGTGGAGGGGCTCGTGGCCTGCTTCACCCCCGGGGCCTGCGCGCCTCCTCTGGGCGGCCGCGGCACGGGGCGGCCCGCGCTCGCGGCCCAGTGTCCAGGCTGGGCGGGGCCGAGAAGACCGCGCGCGCGCGGCGCAGCCTGTGGCGGCGAAGCCTCCGCCAGCGTGGCCCTCGCAATCAGAGGCCGCGCCCGCTGCGCATCGGGCTGCCCCCCGAAGAGGCCCAGCCGCGGCCGGGCGTCCGGCGACTCCCGCGGCCGCGGGGGCCGCTGGACGCCGGGAAGGCCCAGGCCTCGGCGTCTGCCGGCGGCTCCGCGCCCAGTGCGGCCCCCGTCGTGCCGCTCGCCGTCTTCGGCCCCGACGCGGCGAGCCCAGGCGATTGGGCGGCGGTGGCCGGACAGGCGCGGGGGGCGCGGGGGGCGAAGACGCGTCTGGCCACGAGCAGCTGGCGGCGCCGAGGAGGGCGAGGGCCGCCGGGCGCCGCCTGTGTCCGCCGCGCGCGCCCAGACAGGAAAGGCGAGTGGATCGCGCCGTCGCGCGGGCCAGACGCGCGGCGAGTGCGCGGCCGCCGCCCGCCCCCGCCCGCGGGCGCCCGCCAGCTCGCCCGCCTCCCACGCCCCGCGCGCAAAGCGGGCGCGGAGGCGGGCTGCCTCATGACAGCGAGGCCCGGGGGCCACAGCAAAGGTCGCTCCTGTTTCGAACGTGCTCGTTTTTGCAAAGTTGGCCCGCGTAGTCGTTCATGGGCGTGCGTCCTCGTGCGCCTGGAGGGGTCATCGGGGCTACCTTTCTTGCCCCTGGAATCCGTGTCATGTCGAATGAGATATGGGGCGGGGCGCGACCGACTTTTAAACCACTCGGTTGTATCGGTCTCACCTGATTGTTCGCGGGCGGGCTGAAAGGTATCATTGCAGCGTGTACGTTGTTCCGAATTCGGTGGTCGGGCAGCTTCGACGCCCCTCGCTTGCGGTTTTTTGGGGTCGATTTTGTGGTGGGGGGCCGATATAAGCCTGTCGGCCGGACCGCCACCGCCGACTCTTGGCCCTCAGGGGACCCTTCCATTTTCTGGACGACTTGACCTGTATTGACGGCGTCGACATGTCATTCCATGTCACATCATCACGACATATCAGCACGGAAGACCAGAGCATGATGGCGGGGCAGCACGGCATACCGCTGTAACACGGCAGGCCGCAGTAGCATGGCATACCAGCATGGCAAACCCTAGCGGCTCGGCATGCCCGCGCGGCGAAAACAGCAACATGACATAACACCACGGCATACCAGCACGACGGCTAATTCCCACGAGCGCAACTTGCAAAAGCGACGCCTCCCGTTTTTGTCCAGTTAGGTTTCTCACATTTTTCCGTTTCGCGCGAGAAATCTTCCAGACATCGGCTTCGGAGGGGGCTCTAATGGAAAGTCGTCCTGGGATCGCCCCTGGACGGTCTCAAAACGGCACAAGGCACCCCACAGAGCCCAAAGAGCACACAACAGCGCCCCAAGAGGGTCTTCGGGTCAGGAGGCCCCCAAGACGGCCCAAGATAATCCCCAGACGGCCGACAGCAGCGTCACAGCGGCTCAAGAAAAACAGCTCTCCAAGACACGCCCAGACAGTCCGAGGACCCCCATCGCTCCCACGAGGACCCGGCATGCCCCCCCAAAACGCCCAAGAGGCTTCTAGGAGGGAGCAGAGAGGCTCGAAAACGGCTCCACGTCCTTGTCCCCGTGCTCCTCGTCCATCTTCCTTCCGTCGTCCCCCTATTTACTGCCATCCTTATTGTCCTCCATGCAGTTCTTCACTCTGCCCTTCTCCCAGTCGTCCTCCGCGTCGTCGTTGTCATCTCTCGCCTTGTCCCGCTCATCCTCATCGTCGTTTTGTGTCCTGGAAAACCTCGTCCTCCTCGTTCTCCCCGTTCTCCCTCTCCACATCCAAGCCGTCCTCTTCGTCTTCCCCGCTGCCTTTGGCCTATCCTTCCCTGTCGATCTTGTCGTCCGCCTCCTTTTCGTGCTTGTTCTCCTCGTCTTCATCCTCCTCCTTCTTGTGCTTGTCTTCCTCCTCGTAGTCCGCTTGGTCCTCCACGCCGTGCTCCTCCTCACTCACTTCTTTGTCGTCTTCATCAACCTTAGTTTCTATGTCGTCTTACGAGCCGAGTGGAGAAAACCGGCGCTTCTGGTTCTTGTCCAGTCAGGCCCTTGAGAACGGAGGACGGAGGAGGAGAAGGAGGAGGAAGAGGAGGAACAGTAGGAGCAGTAGGAGCAGTAGCAGCGGCAGGAGGAGGACAGGACTTCGAGCAGGCCAGGGTCTTCTGTGCGGCCATGTCCGGCGTCAGGTTCGACCGGGCCAGCCCTAAGGAGGTCATGTTGGAAGAGGCCAGAGAGTACCGCAGCCTCGGGGACGTTCGCGCCGTGACGAAGACTCAGGCCCCAACTGAAGAGTTCAGACACTTACCCCCCTACTCATTCACGATCTCGCAGGGGCTGATGCTGTGAGCAGATACTCTCATGCCGGGGGTATCGTTACACCGGAGGAGGAGGAATGAGGATAAGGAGGGAGTACGGAGTGTTGACGAGGATGAAATGAGTTTGATGATAAGGATAATGATGATGTTGATGATGATGCTGATGCTGATGGTGACGATGATGATGTTGGATGCTGCTGCTGCTGATGATAATGATGGTGTGACTGATGATGCTGCTGATGGTGGTGATGCTGATGATATGAAGAGGAGGAGGAGGAGGAGGATCATGATGATGATAAGGAGGAGGACGAGTAAGTTGCATGATGATGTTGATGATGCTGATGATGCTGACGATGATGATCACGATGCTGATGCTCAAGCTGATGATGAAGATTAAGATGCTGATGATGATGATGCTGCTGCTGATGATGATGATGAGGATGATGATGAAGGCCCGTGCTTGAATATCTGTCGGGGATCAGGTCCAGTTCACCAAGTTCGGTCCAGTGCTCGCCGTGGCGCAGGAGGGGGATGGACGCCGCAGAGAATCAGATCCCAACTCCCTGGATGACGACGACGAGCTCCCCCATGGCACTCGGCTGAGCTTTTGAGGATGTTCAGGGCATCCGGTGCGAGGCTACCAAACAGTTTCAAGACATAGGACGACCCAGGCCCGCCACCTCGGCATCGCAGAGCCTGGCGCCGCTCCTTTACGGATTCGTACAGTTTCGCTGGTCGAGCCATCTGCCAGGCCGCCCGTTCTCACATCCTTCGTTCCGCCTTCTCGGCGAGAGGGTGCGCGCGGCCCTGCCCAGATCGCCAAGCCCGGCGGTCTCGGTGATCCTGCGCTGTCAGGCTCTGCCTGTTTGGTCCATTTTCTCTGGCCGCAAAGCAAAGGGTCGCCGTGCTAGACCGGCGCGCTTACATACTGTGCTGTGGTTAGCGGTACGAGCCCCTCGCTAATGTTGTGAGTGCAGTGTTTGGATGTGCTGACCCTGTCTGAGCCTAGATTCAGGCTCAACTCTACAGGGTTCTCTGCCCATGTCGTTATCCCTTTTGCCCTCGCTGTTCGTGTTACCTTTGGCGTTCACGTCCGCCTTGCCTGCGCACTCTTCGAGGGTGCAGTTTATATAAGGTTATCTTAGGCAATCGTGGAAGAGTTCACGGTTGCGCCTGAAGCCCTCTGTTCTGCCTGATAGGGTCTATTCTTCGCGCTTCGCGTATCCCCACCAGCCCATTCAGAAGCCCTGCCCACGAGAGCTGACGGGAAAAGGGACGAAAGGACACATCCAGGGAAGCAAGGCGAGCAGCCAGGATGAACCGAGAGATCTCTGGGAGCAAGGGGGTGGCCTTGGAAGGCCTTTTCGGGCCATCCCTGGGGGCCGCGTGGGGGCGAGGGGAAGAGGAGGATGAGGAGGACGAGGAGGAGGAGTCGGAGGAGGCGGAGGATGATAATGAGGAGGAGGAGGAGGAGGAGGCCTCTTGGGCGCCTCTTGGGGCACTCTTGGGGCCTCCTGGGAGTTTCCTGGGGGCCTCTTGGAGGGTTTTGGGTGCTTTTGGGGGCGTCTTGGGGGCCTCTTTGGCCGTCTTAGGGCGTTCCTGGCTTGTCGGACGCCGTCGGAAGCCGTCTTGGGGGCCTGTCTGGGTCGTCTTGGGGCCCTCTTGGGGCATATCAGGGGTTCTTAGAGGCCATCTTGGGCGTCTTGGAGGCCTCTTGGGCCGTTTTGGGGCCCTCTTGGGGCCGTCTTGGGGGCCTCTTGGGCCGTCATGGGGCCATCTTGGAAGCCTCTTGGGCGATCTTGGGGGCCTCTTGCGCCGTCTTGAGCCGTCGGAATGCCGAAAAGAAGCAACTGTCACAATCTGTCAAACACCTCCGGAACATCACTGTTTTTAGCCTCTTCGTGCCCTCCTGGGGGACCTCCTGGAAGCCGCCTCTTGGGCCGTCTTGCGCCATCTTGAGGCCATCTTATGCAGCCTTGGGGGCCGTCTTGGGCCCTCTTGGGGCCGTCTTGGGGGCCTCTTGGGCCGTCATGGGGCTATCTTGGAGGCCTCGTGGGCGATCTTGGGGGCCTCTTGGGCCGTCTTGAGCCGTCGGAATGCCGAAAAGACGCAACTGCCAAAATCTTTCAAACACCTAAGGAACATCACTGTGGTTGGCCTCTTCGGGCCCTCCTGGAGGACCTCTTGGAGGCCTCTTGGGCCGTCTTGGAGGCCTCTTGGGGGATTCTTGGGCCGTCTCAGGCCGTCTGGAGGCCATCTCAGGCCGTCTTGGGTGCATGTTGGGCCGTCTTGGAGGCATCTTGTGGGCATCTTAGCCGTCTTGGAGACCATCTTGGGCGTCTTGGAGGCCTCTGGGGCCGTCTTGGGACCTTCTTGGGGCCCTCTTGGGGCTCATGAGGCCATCTTTGGGAGCCCTGGAAGGCCTCTTGGGGCCATCTTGGAGGCCATCGATCAAAGGAGGAGCTGGGATAGCGTTCAGCCCCCCCCCCCCCCCCCGAGAGACCAACATGGGGCCAACACCTTAGTAACACGAATGATTTGGGCGCCCAGAGGGCTGGTGGGATAACGTTCAGCCCCCCCCCCTCTCCACCAAAGAGGCCAACATGGGGCCAAAACCTTAGTAAAACCAATGATTTGGGCGCCCAGAGAGCTGGTGGGACATTTTTCAGCCGCCCCCCCCACCCAAAGAGGCCAACATGGGGCCAAAACCTTAGTAACACCAATGGTTTTGGCTTCCTCGCCGAGGCCGTTTTGGACGCCCCGGCACCTTGAGGCCCCCCCCCCAAAAAGTCCAGGGGAGGGGTAAGGGGAGGGGTAAACCTCTCCCCGTAAGGGAAGAGGGGCTTTTGGAAGAGGGAAGAGGAATCTCGTTATACCACCTGTCGCCCAAAGGGCTGGTGGGATTAGCGCAGCGCAGCATTCCGTCCCGCGCTACCTTTTGCTCGCCGTCGCTGATCGCCATCGCATTATTATGGATCATCTCGCTCCACGTTCCATCTGCTGGTGCTCCTCCTCACCTTCTTATTTAATCGCTTCGCTCATGCCGCCGGCCCTGGAGCCCTCTTTAGGGCCTCTTGGGGGCCTCTTGGGGACCTCTTGGGAGTCTCTTGGGGCTCCTTGGCGGCGTTTTGGAGGCCCCCAGGGCCTCTTGGGGGGCTCTTGGGGGTAGTCGATTGCGGCTCCCCCCTCGGAGGCCACGATCCTCGTGAGGGGTGTCGAAAAATACCCTCCCCTGGAGTGGTCTGGTGGCTTCTCCCGGGCTTCTCTCGGGACCTTGCCGGGGTACTTTTCGTCCGGGGGCCCCCAGGGGCCGCTCCGCGCGCGCGAACTAGAAATATTGTTAACAAGTTACCGGAGATCTTAGCACGCCTCTGGCCCGTTGGGCCGGCGAATTTCCCCCCAGGCAATCACCATCACCATCATGATCATCACCATCATCCTCACCCTCACCGTTACCCTCATCCTCACCCTCATCATCATCCTCATCCACGGCCCTGGCAGAAAGGTACGCCGTATACCTTCTGCATCGGCATTTGCATGGCACGGTGTTGCATTGCTTCGCCGCACCGCCACAATCATACCATATTAGATAATACAGCCGGTTTTCTGGATCAGGCCGTTGATGGCGGGCCGCTTGAAGCAGGCAGCACAGACATATGTGGTCTGCGGTAAGGCAGTGTTGTGCATTGAACTGCGTTGCGTTGCGATTCATTGCAGAGGTGTGTCGTCACTAAGTAGCAGGTAGTACGCTGTACGCAGTAGACGATCAGCGACCACTGCAGCAGACCGCCAGTTCTGCAGCGACCACTGCAGCAGACCGACTGTTACAGAGTCGGTAAACCTGCAGCCGCAGGCCGCCGACTGCCAGTTCGCCTGGATCTATGTGACGGCCTGTCCCCAGCTGGACGGACCAGCTGGTCAATCGTGGCGCTCAGTTCTGAGATTTTTGGCCATCGATCCCGCCGCCAGCCTGTTGTTTTTGCAAAAATGAATCTGCATGAAGGGCTTCGCCCTCTGCCGCCGCCCCCGCTTTGACTGCCTGCATGGCTGGATCGGTTAGTTGATTGGCTGATCGGCTGACTGGCTGTCAACGCGGCTGCTTGGTGGGTTGCCTGGCTGTCTGGCCAGTTTGCTGACTGGTTTACTGGATGGCCGGCTGCCTTGATGACTGTTTCTGAGCGTTGCTCCACGTTTCTTTCCGAACCCGGGTTTGCACTAATCAGGAGGAGAAAACACGCAGACACAATTCATCGTCGATTCCCCCGAAAATAGGGGAAACTACGGGAAGTGTGGGGGGGGGGGGGGGAAGACGAAGACCCAGAACATGTGGAAAACTATGGGGGATCCTGTTGTCTGTGCCTACTTATTTGTGTGTCCCAGGGCCCCCTTCAACCACGCATGTCCAGCTCGGCCTCGAAGCAGTTCCCCCTGCGGTTCGGGTCTGTGCGCCCTGCGGCAGCCCGTGGGCGCCGTTTGTGAGCGCCTCGTGCGCTGGCCCGGGGGTTCACCTCGTGGTTGCCCGGGAGCGTCACGTGCGCCCGTGGGCGCACCGCGTAGATTCGTGGAGGACGATCGATGGAGAGGAGGCATGCTGCCAAATCATTTCCAGATGTCTCGAAGATGTTCCAAGCATGTTCTAGATATGTTAGAAAACATGCTTGAGACATTGTTACAACATGTTTTGCACATGTTTTACACAAGCGTCGATTCCTCTCCCGGAGATGAAGAGTGTTAGCCTGCCTGGACCTCCAGCAAGTGTGTTTCCAGCAGCATGTGGTGTGCAATCTATCTGGGGCAATCTATGCTGTGCAATCTTTGTGGTGCAGTCGATGTGGCGCGCAAGTTATGCGGTGCAATCTGTGTTGTGCTATATATGTGGTGCAGCCTGTGTGGTGCAATCTATGGCATGCAATTTGGGTGGTGCGAAGTTTCTGCGGTGCAACCGACGTCGTGCGATCTAAGTTGTGCAACCGATGCTGCGCTATCAATGTGGCGCAAGCTATGTGGTGCAGTGTGGTGCAATCTATGCGGTGTAACCTACTGGTTCGACATACGTGGTGCAATCTATGTGACATATGCACAGTAGGCTTGCAATTTATGTTGTGCCATCTACGTGGTTCACTTACGGTGATGCAATATGTGTGGTGCAATCTACGTTGTGCAAATTCGTTGGCGACCTGACGGCGACGCCGACGAATAGCCGCCAGTCTGATAGTCGGGCCCGGACGACGGGTGGCGACGAGGCGGCAACGGGGCGGCGATGGCGACACCATAGCCGCCAGACCGAAAACCAGGCCCAGTTTCTTAGAAAAGAAATGAGAACACTGAGTGCAAGCACGGTCTGGGGAATCTGATTTTGGTGCGCGCGCATATCGGAGCCTCTGCTTCCCTTGCAGGCCTAGGCGCGCCTCTCGTTTCCTCATCCACCTCCTCCGCCTCCGCCCCCTCTTCCTCCGCCTCCTCCTCCTCTTCCTCCCCTTCCTCCCTCCGTTCTCCCTCCCTCCTCCTCCTCCTCCTCCTCCTCCTCCTGATCCTCGTACCCTTCGTTCCCCTTCAGGGCGGGTCGGGTGAAAACCATGAGAAACCCCCAACAATCAAACACACCACACAACCAGTCTTGGGGGACGTCCCCCCCTACCCCCCGAGAGTTCACCAGGGTTGTGGTTCGTTGTTTCTCCTGTGGTTATGTTGGTTCCACCCAGAGGAGAGGGACTGCTTGGAAGGGGGGGGGGAGGCTGAGGGGACCCAGGGCAAGAACCCTGGTGAGGACCCAGCAGCACGGAACCCAGCAACGGACTCCAGGACGGAACCCAGCAAAGGCTTCAGCAGAAGACCGAGCAACGGACCAGCAAATGATCAAGCAAAGGGACCCAAGAGTAATCATAAGCTATGTTCTGTTGTGCGTGCGTCCCCTCAGTGTTTTGATGCAGCGGAAGTGGGCATCACCGCACCGATGCCCGTTTCAGTCGTAACACACCAAAAAAGGGCAGCGTAACACACCAAAAAGGGGTACCGCAACCAGTGGTTACCATATTCCCACCGCGCCCGAAGCCGCAGCTCCTTGGCACGGGCGGCTATGCTTGCAGCCCGCATCGCATCTTAACCCGTTGTACAGCATGCGGCATTCCAGTGCCACGGGCAAGACATTACCACCCTCGAGGGCACCAGGAACACCGATGCCCTTTGTGGCTGAGGAAGAGAACTTGCAATCGTCACAGCAACCTGCCTCTCACGCCTTTGCGCTCGAAGAGGCCGCCTGTGGCCGCCCGCTTGCCGCAGCAGCACCATGGCCGCCATCAGCCTTGCGGTGGTGCTTCCAGAGAGCGTTGGGGAGCCCCTCGGCCTTCCTGATTACGCCCCTGGCTTTACTCCCGGCGATGCTCTTCAGCGCGCCGAAAACATGAAGGCGAGCGGCCACCTGCGCATCACTACCAGAAACGTAGAGACGGCAGGGCTGCGCGGTATCGCCGATCTACCAGCGCAGTTCGCGACGTAGTGCAGGAGGGTTGTCGACTGCTTTGCCGACTACGGTGGGGGCTTTGATGGCCGCGTCCCGTGACAATCATGTCGCGGTCCCGCGAAAACATGCGACTTCCCGAAAAAGGAGCCCGCTGGCCGATGCTCCATGCAGCTGTTCATCATCAACAATTATGGTGGCCAGCACGACACCCTGAAAGACGCGCGCCCCTTGTTGGTGAAGTCCAGGACATACGCGTACATTCAGAGGTGCCGCGGCATTTTCTCAATCTGGCGTTGTGGCAACCCGCGTTGGATTGGCCGCCTGGCCACCCAGTGAATGTTCGAACAAGTGGAGGGCCACAATCTGCGGCGCCACGCCGCGTTCACGAACTCTGGCAGGGGGCCTTACAGGAAGACGGCCGAGTGGCCACTCAAGGCCGCAGGGTGCGCGTTCATGCGAAAGAACGAGCTTCGCGCCATCAGTGCGAACCAGTTCATGGATTTCGCAGATTGGGAGAGCGCCCGCCCAGACCCCAATCTTTGCCCAGGGCGAAAACCGAGTCGAGAGGGCCCTGAACATTTGCCCGAAGGGCAGGGCAAATGCCGAGGGCTTTGCGACGCGGATCCTGTCGCTCCGCGATTTCGGCCCCCTGGTTCGCCAGCAACGTTATCAGGCTCATCTCGGCGTTCGCCCTCAGGGGCTTCGGCGTGGCGCGACTTGGGAAGACGGGCGCCCGGGAGATCGTGGGGTCGAAGACTTTGGCGTTCCTGATGAGCCGCGTGGAAATCGAGGCGTTGGAGCAGTCTGGGGGAGTCGAGGCGGGCGAGCTCGTTCCGACGATCGTGACCACCAAGCATCTCATCTTCTTCATGGGTGAGCCTGTAACCCGCGCCAGGCCAGCAATCTTTGACGAGGGCGAGTGGTCTGAGCAGTCGGCGTCCATGCACAAAGCGTTCCTGCATCCGAGCGGGGAAGGCGTCGCGATCTGGGCGCGGTGGGGGCCGTCATCATTCGACGTTTGGGCCGCTTGTCTTGCGGCGGCGCTTGCGGCGGAGAGTTCGAGGCGGAGCTCGTGTCCATGCGAGCAGGGGGCGACGATTTCGCGCGGCTGAACAGGCCGTCGCTTCGCCGAGCATAGGAGGGCGAGGACTTGCTGGCCATCGGCAAACGGGTGCATTCTGTAATGGCCACGATCGAGCGGTCGCGCGTCCGCCGCGCCCGCGAAGTGCAGGGCCGCGTGCCCTGGTGGACCTGCACCGACCCCCAACGAGCTTGCCATTTCCAACCAGCAGTACAATTAGGGCATTCGGCACGTGCAAGAAGGACGCGACCGCGCCTGTGTACCCCGCGTACTTCGAAGACGATGAAAAGTGGTCGATGAATTATTTGAAGCGTCTCCTGTTGAACCAGGGCGTGGCGCTCGTGCCGGCTGTCGGCAGCGCGCGCATTTTCCCCGCCGCGTCTGCGCAGCCCTCCCCGACCAGGGCCCGCGACGAATGGGGCCCGCGCTCGATGGGTGCCGTTGCGTCGGTTGGCAGCGGCGCGGCATATTCAAGTGGCAATGCAAATCCAGCCGCGGCCGCTTGGAAGCCGGCGCGAACGAGATGGGCGCGGAAAGATTGGGTGCGATGCCCAACAGCAGTTCCTGTTCACTTTGAGCAGGGCTCGCTGTCCGCGCCGCCACGGCCTGCGCCCGCTTGAGACAGACGGCCGCCTTCCCAACAGCGGCCGCCGCTGGTTTGGGACAACGTTTGTTGTTGGGCATTGTGCCGATTTTTTTCCGCGCCTATTTCGGGCGCCCAGAAGAGAAGGCGCGGGGGCGAGCTGCCCGGCGCGGGCAAGGGCGAGCAGAAGGCGATCTACGATGCTATGTATCTGGAGGTTTGGCGCGTGAGCGCGGAGGGCAGCGGCGCGCAGGTGGGCCTGGCGGCGCGACTTCGCAACCGCAGGGCGACCGGCGCCGAGGCTTTGGCGGGGCGCGGGGGCGATCTCAGCCAGGTGGGCAAGGCTGAGCAGCTCGCGGTCTACGAGAGCATCCAGACGGATTTCCTCCACCAGGGCCAGCTGGATTCCAGCGCGCAGATTGACCTTTCTTCCCCGCTTCCTCAGCGCAGCGGCATGGGCGTCGACGACTTCGACCTGGGCGGCGAGCTCGCGCGCCGCCTCGACGAGCGGGGCGAGCTCGGCCGCTTCCTGGCGGGGGAAGACTGAGCCCGCGCGGATGAGGGCGCCGAGGGCTTGGGCGGCGGCCCGGCCAGCCGAGAGAAATGCACGTTTTCCTTTCCGTGAGACTCGCGCGCTCGTTGCGCAGTTGCTTTTTGAAGCGGGGTTTGAGCTCTGCCGGGGAAGAGAAATCCCCGTGCGGACGCCGCGCCGCTGCGACTCGGGTCGATTGATTGAAAAAGCAGCGCCGTCGTCGTCGACGCCGCGTCGAACCGCGGCCGCCCCGTTGTCCACGATGTCGTTTGTATCATCTCCACCCTGCGCACCCGGCACTTCGCCCTGCGGGGAAATCGCGTCTATCGTCGAATCG